ATCTGTAAAGTGGGCATCCTGTTTGAGTACGGAGACATAGTAACAGATGGCATGGGAGGCACATGCAAAGGGCTCCAGTCCTAGAGCTGGTATCCTAGCTCTGCTGCTTGCTAGTTGTGTGACCTCAAGTGAGTCCCATAGACCTCTGTCGGCCTCACAGTCTTAATCTGTAAAGTGGGCATCCTGTTTGAGTACGGAGCTAATGAAATAACTCATGGGAAATGTTCAGCTTGGTGCCCATGGGCTTATCCTTGGGCTCTTGGTCCCTTAGCTCCTTGATCTCCTCCTTCCATGGTACTTACAATAACACAATTCCTTCTTTAAGGTTTGGCGGCCCCCCACACTAAGGTCTCTGATAGCAGGGATGCCGTCTGTGTTGTTTCATGCTTTATTCCCAGAGTCTAACCAAAGTCTAGCCTAGAGGGGTTCCATAAATTAGCAGTAGTATAAAAGCCAGACAATTTTGGATCCCAGTAAAATGAACTCTGAGAGGGTCCCCTTGTTCAGTTCACTATCTTCAAATTTCTTGTTTAAAAAAAAAAAGAGAGAGCTATCAGCTGGGGTTTCAAGTGAGATCTTAACCTGATCATGTCACTGCACACAATTGTACTTGGGCAAGTACGAGACACCAGTATAGTAAAGATCACCTCCCTCCCACCCTTCTCTTGGATTTTAGAACTCTTCAGAAAATAGTTGTAAACCTTTCCACGGCTTTTCATTTTGTAATGGATTCAAATTTAGTTAATCCCAAAGAACCAGAAGACCTACTGTCCAAATTGGTTGATTCAACAACAGAGCATCCCAAGGATGGGAGTGGATATGACCTGTCACATTCAGTTACCAGGCCTAATTTTGAATTCAATAACTTCAAGGCAGGTATGAAAGACTTTTTAAAAAGTTTTCAGTACAAAGGCAAGCACCACTGACTTTAACTGTACACAAGCCTCTCATTGATAGCCATTAATACTTCGGGACACACACAAACACACACCCAGAGAAACATAAAACAAACCTTTTTGTCAATGTGGGCTTGTTCAGAGGTCTTGGTATACAATTATTATTAATTGGCTTTTTAAACTGGTGCTTTATTCAAAGTACCTAGTTTTCACCAGTGTCCCAGAAGGTAAGTTAGCTGCCAGTAAACCAGCCCTCCACGCTGCCCAGTGCAGGGGCAACATCTAGCCTGCAGGACAGAGGGAAGGGTGGCAGAGCCCAGGGAGCAGCTTACCTTGGCTTGGTGCAGGCTGCAGGGTCAGATGGGCTTGAAACTGTTGTTTCCTCTGCTGCTGGTCCTGCTCTTGGAGCTTATATACCCAACTCCTGCTGAGCTTTCTGATGGAAAACCAAACTTGAAACTGACTTGTTCCAAGTTGCAACATTGACAACTATTCTCAAAACCTTCTGGGGAATTTGGAGAAGTTCCTCCCCTTCCCCCCTCAGTGTGTATCAATAACACTGAAAGGAACCAGGACATCAAAATCCCAGGTAGGAGGAAATGACTTTGGGGTGGGGAAAAAGGAAGGAGAGGGGAATGCTAATTTCTTTGGGTTTGCATCATCGTCAAGGTGCTTAGAGACGGCCCTAGGCAGCCTCCCTGGGTTCCACAGACTGGGGAAAAAGAAGGCCAATGGGAGTCATGCAGGAAGCTGAGTTTGTGACAGAATAGGGCAATGGGCATGTTAGTTAGAGGTCCCCAAAGCCAAGTCCATGGCTCTCCCAAAGTCAAGGGAGATGACTAGCAAAGGGCTTAGTGTATCTGGGGTCTCTTCCCCCACTTCATCCCATTAACATCTGGATTTCAGACTGTGCCCACCACACGCCCAGGCACACCCACTCCTCCCCACACCGCTGCATATCACCCATAGCTCTGGGAAGATGTCAAAAACTCGTGTACAGTAATAAGAGAGACACTTGCAGAGACACATCCTGGGCTCATAGGTGTTCACTCATAGATGGTAGCAGCAGGTGAGGCGGCCACACACAAGTCTGCCACAACCTATGTCACACTCAAGACATACCCTCTTGGGCAGCCAGGCATTGGCACACACATCTTTGGCCTTAGGAGCCCTGGGTAGATGCTCCCGAGGTTCAGCGAATAAAGACACCTCTCTAGAGGAATGTAAAGTGGCCCAGAGGTGCGCAAAGGTGGACGCTGGTGGTAGTCCTCCCTTTTGGCCCCGCCACCTGCACATCTGCACAGACAGGCGCCCAAGTTCCCACACGGAGGCGGCCGTCCCGGAGCCGCCGACAGAGGGCGCTGCGGCGAGGCGCGCCAAGTCCCGGAGCCCAGCTCGGCGGCCGCCTTCTCCGCCCCGCGCCCGCCCCGCCGCGGGGGAAGTTCCTGGGGCTGGAGCCCGACCCGCCAGGTTTCGGGCGGGCGCAGATTTCCGGGCCACTTTCCTCGTAGTGTTCGTCGAGGGGGAAAAAGGGAAACCCGAGCGAGAGCGGCGGAGCTTCCCAGCCGCACACTTCCTCCCTCCAGCCATCGGTCCTGGACGGGGAAGGCGGGGCGGCTAAGCGGGCAGTCCCACCGGTTATCTACCTTGTGCTCTGACTGATGTGACTGAGGGAGGAGACATTGCCTCCAGCGCAGAGCGCCTCCTATTCTTTTGTTCTCTAGGCTTCCCCAAAATGAGATCTCGGATCCAGGAGATTGAGAACCAAGAAGGTTGCATTATATGTTGGTTGTACAATACCATTGCGTGTGTGTGTGTGTGTGTGTGTGTGTGTGTGTGTGTGTGTGTGTGTGTGAGAGAGAGAGAGAGAGAGAGAGAGAGAGAGAGAGATACTAGGGAATTGTACACATTTACTGAAATATGCAACAACTTGTGGTAATCCTTTCTGTAATAATGTATTAATCTCACCCAGTCAACTCCAGAGAGAACTGAACAGAAAACTTCTCATGAAATAGTCTCACTTGTTTAGGCACAGTGGCTGCATCACTACTGACGAGCCCTGTGTCATACATAAAATAAGCTGAATCAGGTCCTGAGTGACAAATATTTCATTCATGAGTTCATAAAAAAGCATCTTCAAAATTCTAGAAAAACCTATGATTGGTAACAGAAGACCTCAGGAGCAGTAGCGTGCTAGTTATGCAAAAGAGGCTCCAAGGTAAGTCCCAGCTTCTCTCTCCCACTGAGATTGCAGCCCCAGGGCCAATCCTACATGGAAATATGGGACCTCCACGTTCACTTACTCCAAGGGAGCAGTGGGTGTTTCAGAGCATGGTTTTAGAGCCACATGGAGAACTGGATTCCAACTCCTGCTCTGCAAGTTTCCACTTCTCTGAACTTCTCATCAACAAGTGAAAAATAGAGATGGTACCTTGATTGTCGATTGGCTGTGCAAATTGAATGGGATTTGGTGGGATGTACCTAACGTGCATCCTGGCTAAATGCTTAAGAAGGCTGTTTGTACTTATGTATTTCAATCCTGTCCTGTGCCCCAAAGGCTTTTGGTAGCTCACAAGGGGACATCCAAGATGATAGGAGTAGAAGGAGACAGAGGCAAGTAATGAGACGGGGCAGAACAGGGCTCCTAACAGTCCTTAGACCATGAAGGCCACGTGGCTGTGACTAAGCCATTCATTTGGCTGCACATCCAGATCGAGATGAGAAAGATGAACTGGGCCCACCTCATCTCTGCCCCATGGGACTGTTTTGATGAGTCCAGTTCAACCATGGTGGAAGTAGTTCTCAAACTTGATCTGTGTATAACAATAACAGGCTCCAGGTTGTTAGCCCTCACATTCAGAGAGGAAGATCAGTAGATCCCAGTGGAGCCCAGGAGCCTGCATTCTAAAGTGGAGACTCATGTGGCCATCGCAGGTAGTTGTGTGTGGGTCCCTTGGCTGACACTTCTAGACACTTCACAGTCGTGTTCCATTGACTGGAGAGACATCCCGAGTTCATCTCTAGACTCTGCACAAGGCCAGCCAGTACTCTGGCTGTGACAGTGGAATGCCCATTGTTTATGAACTTGTCCCACTTCATGATCCAGACCCTGACCCCAGGCAAGCTGAGTCAGAGCCCCTGAGCTCCCTACGCTCCCCCTGTGGGAGAGGAAGGATGAGGCTGTGAGAGGCTGGCCATCCCCCCAGAAACTGAAAACAACTGCAGAACTGTTTGACCACAACCCCACCCCACCCCCTCATAAAAGATCGCTTTGAGCTTCTAGCCCACATTTCAAATCAAGGAGGAGTCATGTGTTCTTTAAAATATTTAAATGTTTAGCCAGGCACAGTGATGCACGCCTGTAATCCCAGTGGCTCAGGAGGCTGAGGCAGAAGGATTGCAAGTTCAAAACCAGCCTCAGCAATGGTGAGGCACTAAGCAACTCAGTGAGACCCTGTCTCTAAATAAAATACAAAAAACAGGCTGGGGATATGGCTCAGTGGTTGAGTGCCCCCTGAATTCAATCCCTGGTACCCTCTCCCCGCCAAAGTTAAATGTTTAGAAAATGACACAAGCAATACATGCATGCATGCTATTGTGAAAAGTTCAAAAATACAAATACACGTGGAATATTAAGTCAGAGCCCTGACTGGAGAGTCTGCTGGAGGAGTCCCTCAAGCCTTCTTTATGTAATTATATCTATCTGGTCATATAAATGGGACCCACTATACCCACATTGTTCTGCCAATTGCTCCTGTGTAGTGGTTAGCAGTTCGTCTTCTAGAATCAGACAGACCTTGGCTGGGTGATGGGCCGTATTTCAGATACAGTGGCGACAGTCTATTCTGTATGCGTGGCTTACAGTGTCTCGCTAGAGGTCACCTGAGTAGATTCCACCTGTGTATCAGTTAGGGTCCCTCGGACTTAGTTTTCCCTCTAGTGTCTCTCAGACTATCATCCCTTCACAGTTCCAACCCACATGGGACAACGTTCAGGATAAAAAACAAACAAAAATCCAACAAGACCAAACAGACTCTCATCCCTCTTGTCTGCAACTCTCTTAAGAACAAAAATCTTTTCTCAGCTGCTGCTCCAGCCCTTTCTCCTGCACCTCTAAACCACTCCTGCCCAAGGAGTCTGGGCTGACAGTGGAAATTTTAGAAAAGTCAGCTTTGGCCATGATCCCAGGGGAATGGGTTTGCCAACCAGGCAGAGACAGGTAGAACCCGGGCCACAGGAGTCAGCCAGGTGAGCCCAAGTGATTATGGCTGATGATAAAGTGACCAAAGAGGGCGACCCTGTGGATAAGGCTACTGCCTCAGAACAGTCCAACACCCTTGAAGGGACACTTCCAGCCTAGGACTGTGGGCCACCTTGTAGATACCTGCTTTTCCAGGAAACCAGTAACAGGGTCTATCTGAATAGTATTGTCAGGGGAGCAGGGTCCTGAGGAGGTCCTCCCCCCAAAAGGCTGTGAAGGACTTCAATGTCATTGCTGGAAAGAATTTAAGTGAGGCCCAGATTGATTTTGTTGAGAGAAAGAGAGAAGCACACTCTGAGAGTTGGGGTGGCGTGTGGTCGTTGGAGAGGAAGGCGTGAGCCTGTCTTTGCCTGGGCATGTTCATACGCCTAAGATCAGTAGGGCAGGGACGTGATCTAGAGGGTGTTCAGTTCTTCTTGGTGTTGGTGACCATGTTGACCGTAACCGGGATGGGGGGTTAGTTTCTTCTCCCATGTCGATGTGTTTGCTTGGTGAATTTAAGTAGTATTGCATTGATGTACTGAGAAACTAATTTGACTCCCTTTTTTGAGAAACCAGCCTCTACCTCAGAGCAAAGCCTGTCCAAGGAAGGGGGCGTGACCCTTGTTTTTGGAAAAACCCCAGAGCACTCCTAAGCACATACCCACCCTGCTGAGTTGTTTGTCTGTAAATAACAGGAGAGGTCCCTGACTCAGTTAGGCTAGGTGAGACCCTATAGCACCCCCCCCAGCAACCTCCAATCAGCATGAGACAGAGAAAATACCAGGGATGCCAGATGACCCTCCCAGTAGTTTATGGTGGTTGATAACATGTTGGGAAACCACATAGTTTAGCATGTACACCCCTCGTGGCCTAAACCAATCAGTTCAAACGAATCCCCCTCTTGCACTAAGCAATCACTCCTACCCAACTTGTTCCCGCCATTGAATGTGCTAATCAATGTTAAGAGTTTTTGTTTGACTTTCCTGAAGTATGGAATGATTTGCTGTGTGATGTTGTGATGCATAGAGTATCCCCCCCAAAACCTATAAAATCTCACTGAACAAAAGACTGGGACTCACTCCCTGGGACCGCAGCATCGGGAACGGTGGTGAGTCCAGGCTCAAGCTTGCAATAAAGACTCTTGTGTGATTGCATCGGATTCGGCTCCTGGAGGTCTATTGGGGTCCCATGAATCTGGCATAACAGTATCTGTGGAGAAGTTCTAATAATTGGTTTAATAATGCTGTTTGTGGTCAAGGTAGGTGAAAGTGACTTAGATCTGGACCTTGGATCACGGCCGCCCTATGTTCTCCTCCATGTCCCCTTCTGCTCCTCTTTATATCTCCTCTCCCACCTCAGCATGAGGGTGCAGGAGTTTTGTTCTCTTCTGTATGTTTTTCTAGTCTTTCCAAAATGTCCACCATGAACTCGTATTACTCTTCTAATTAGAAAAAAAAAATGTTCCCCAAAGAGGAGATGAATGAGACACACAAAGAAGGTGGTCCATGGAGTGGCGATGGGTTTGCTCTCCAGGATCACACGTACCTAAGCTAGATCATGAGTCACATTTCCAACATAATTCTCTGTGTGCACACATAGAGCATTTCCTGGGGCGTAAGTCACCAGGTTACTGATGAAACATTTGTGGTGATGGAGAAAGAACAGTCCTACCTGGAGGCAGAAGACTGCGGGGAGTGAGCACATTCAACCTTCCAAATGCACTTCAAATACCTATTTGCTGTTTGGATGCTTTGTGTAAGATTCCTGGAGTCAGCTGCATCCTTAAAGGGAC